GGTGGAAAGTTGGGGAAGTGGTTCTTTTGGAATTTTTCAAGGAGGTACATCCATGATAACATTAATATCAAGTAAGGAATTGACTTCTTGAATGGCTTGATCAACATCAAAGTTTGAGAAGTCAAAATGGGACATGCAAGTTTCAAGAGGATCTTTACTTAGAATGAAGGGGAGAGATTCTTCGACCACTTCATCAATGACATCCACAAGAAAACAATCATCCTCATTGGAGGGATGTTGAGTTGCATGAAAGATGTGGAGTTTGACTTGCATGTTTCCAAAAGCAATGTCCATCACCCCGGTTCGGCAATTAATTGATGCATTAGCCGTGGCTAAAAATGGCTTACCAAGGATCACGGGAATGTGCTTTTTTGGGTCATGGACCGATTCCGTATCAAGAACCACAAAGTCTATTGGGAAGTAGAATTTGTCCACTTTAATGATAACATCCTCAAGAATGCCTCGTGGATGCTTGACTGATCTATCGGCAAGTTGCAAAACAACGGAAGTCGGCTTAAGATCTCCCAAACCAAGTTGTAGGTAAACTGAATATGGAATTAAATTTACACTAGCTCCTAAGTCAAGGAGGGCCCTCTCGATTTTGCTGTCACCAATGACGCAAGAGATTGTGGGGGCACCCGGATCCTTATACTTTGGAGGAGTGCTGTGCTGAATGATTTTTAGAAGTGCGCTTTTGAGTGCACAAATCTTTGAGAAATTTTGCATAGGGAGGGATTTGCTTGATAGCATCCAAGAGGGGCAAGTTAATCTTCACTTGCTTGAAAACTTCCCACATGTCTTGAATTTTACAATTCTTGTTCCCAAAATGTGTCGACTCTTGAAGACGTTGAGGAAACGGAGCTTTTGGCTCATAAGTAGTTTCCACATTTGGGGTGACATGTGTGGGATTTCCGTGAATGGTATTTGGACAAGAATTTGGATTAGAAGAGCTGGAATTTGGATTTGAAGAGCTTGGATTTGGATTTTTTAAAGGAGGATATTTTTCATTTGTGTCTCCATCAACCTTGTTGTCAACCACTCTACCACTCCGAAGGGTGGTGATAGCTTGAACTTGTTCATGAGTCGGCCCACTCGGAGGAGGGGTTTCATCAATCACATGCATTCCTCTAGGATTTTCAATAGGTTGAGAGGGAAGCTTGCCCTTGTCCTTTTAAAGCAATTGATTCACCGAGTTAGCTATTTGGCCCACTTGATTTTCGAGATTAGCTATGGATTGAGTATGAGAGTGAACCATTTTGAGAGTAGGCTGCAAGGATGTCAATAGTTGCTTGTTGGCATCCATTATTTGCTTATTTAATGATTCCATCATTTGCTTGTTTGCAGCTACTATCTCGTCAGTTGGACACACAGGAGGTTGATTGGAGACATTTGGATTATAAGGAGGACGGTAGCTTGAAGAGGCTAGGAAAGGCCTACCTTGATATTGAGAAGAGGGCTGATTTTGATGCCCTTGGTTTTGGAATTGGGAATTTTGTGGGGCTTGTTGCCGCCACGAGAAATTCGGATGATCTCGCCAACCCGGATTGTTGGTGTTGGAATATGGATTGTTCCCGGGCCGTGAGAACATGACATTAGCTTGTTCTTGGTTGGGATTGGGAAATTGCTCCGGTGTGGGGCAATCTTCCGAGAGATGGAATGGACTAGTACATGAAGCACAAACTGAACTTGCCGAATTTTGAGACAATGAAGGAGGAAGATGTGGTGCCATCAATTGGTAGAATTTATGAGCGATGGCATCCACTTGAGATGATTCCTCCTTTATTGATTTTGGTTGACAAGGGTTGGTGTTCTTTGCAATGGTTGAGGTCGGAGCCCTACAAGAATTATGTTGAAGTGAATTTTCGCTTAAATTCTCAAGTAGGGTCCAAGCCTCATCCGCATTCTTGGACATGAACATCCCACCACAAGAAGAATCAACCATGAATCTATGGGTTTCGGTCAAGGCGGCATAGAAAGCTTGCACTAATTGCCATTTTGGGATCAAATGATGAGGACATTTCTGAAGAAGATCTTGTATCCTTTCCCAAGTCTCATGGAGTTGTTCTCCATCAACTTGAGAAAAGCTTAGAATGGAACGCCTCATTTGGTTGGTTTTACTCACCGGATAATACTTCTTAAGGAATTCTTATTGCAATTGAGCCCAAGAAGTAATGGAATTGGGAGCAATGGGAAAAGATGGAAATGGAGTGCATTGTTCGAAAAACCTCTCAACCGGATGGTCGAACAGATTTCAAGGAACTTATCAAGATACTTATATGGATCTTCATTATCAAAGCCATGAAATGATGGAAGCATTTGGATGGTGCTTGATTTGATCTCATATTGAGCTGCATCGATGTTTGGCATTACTATACAAGAAGGAGAAGCATAGGTGGTAGGGATGAAATGATCTCTAAGAGTTATTGGTTCTACATTAGGAATTTCAGCCCTTTCATTCCCCGGATTTCCTACGTTATCTCCCATTGTATTAAATTCAGTTTCAAGATCCCTTGTAAGAGTGGGTTCCCTAAGGTTCCGTCTAAGAGTTCTTTCAAGTGAATTTATATCAATAGGCGAGTCAAGTGTGGGTAGAGAGAGTGACCTACGGCCAAACATCAACAACAAAGCATATATTCAACAACACAATTCATCATCAATACTCCACATACGATGTTCCGTTTCTCCTCAATTATCAAGACAAAAATAAATGGCCACGACAAGGACCGATGCTCGGAATTGAAAATACACAATTGAAATAGCCTCGACAAGGTCTTGCAATTTAACTACTTCTAAGCTTAACACATGCACAATATCCACAATTCGAAACTAGAAGTCACGAGACTTACCTGGGGTCCTCTAGACTCACAATTTGCTAACATTCCCACGACGAGCTTCGAGTCCCTAGGATCTCACTTACAACACAAAGATTGTTAAAACACACAAAAAATATTCACAAAACACAGTATACACAATCAAACTAAATTTAACCCTAAACTTCGGTTGCTAAACCGTTTGCAGTCCCCGGCAACGGCGCCAAAAATTGATCGGTTGGTCAATTAAACATCAACCTTCGCAATAGCACGAATCATTGTAAAATAGGGCTATTGGTTGGGTAAGTCGAACCACTGGGACTGCGCTAATCTATGGCAACCTAAGTGTCTAGAGTCATTTTAGAGTGATAAGGGGTGTTCATAGAGGGTTTGTTTTGTTTGTCACTAAACTACAAATTCAGAATGTATAAAACAATAATTTGCAAGGAATTTAGGATGAAAACATGAAGAAGAGGAGACTAGGGAAGTGAATCCGTCTCCATCCCTATACATATGCTAGATTAGACCTAAATTGGGGGAAAAACAACATATGATGGTCAAGACTTACATAGCAACACATGGTTGCCATGTAAGTAATCAAGAGGTACATTAGGTCAAAAATAAGTATAATCCATCAAAAGACAAACATGCTTAGATTACCTAACGAAGGTGTAGCTTATACACATTTACTTAAATGAGAGACTATCAAGTTCTTGACAAAATGATAAAGCACATGGAGTTAGAGATTAAACATACACCATCAAAGGATTTCCTAAGCAATGGTCTATCAAAGTCACCTATCAACATGCCATGAAACCATTTCATAACCTTACTTCCACTCTCACCATGAAAACTCAAGCAATATGATTATTCTAAGACATCATCTAAAACAAGATAATCAACTTAAAGAAATCATCCATACATGTATCAACATTCATTACAACAAATGAGGTGCTCTTGGTTATGAAAAGACCATAAAATACACATGGCAAATCCCCAAAATAGACTATCCTAGGACATGCTTACAAGGGAGGGACTTCATCACCTCCCTAGAGAAAGAGTTAGTTACCCATTGCTAAGCTAGAAAAAGGAAGAAGCTCCATCTTCATGGCCATTTTCGTGCAACCTTCTTGGAGCTTGAAGAACCCCTCATTTTCTTGCTCTCTTCTCCCTCCTCCAAGGAACACCTCCAACCACTTCATAAAGAAGGAAGATGGCATTGAGGAAACCAATGTGCAAGTGGCTAAAATTGAGCCATTTTCAAGTGCAATCTGCCAGAATTTCGAGCACTTAAAGGGTGGTCTCGAGCACTCTAAATTAGTGTAATGTGCAACATGCTCTTCTTGCTCAGCACTGACCTATTTTGGTAAAATGGCTATAACTTTGTGCCCCGAACTCCAAATGACGATCTGTTTGAAGATTTGGAGAGATGATTCAGTGCTTTAAAAACTTTATGTTTTGATGAGACCCAATTCTCAAGTCTGGTTGGTCGAAAATGGGGAGAAAGGCAGTACTTCAGTGCTGCCAGGCAGTTCTGCGCACCTCTGTTAAGAAGATCATAACTCTCTGCTCCGAACTCCGAATGATGAACCGCTTGAAGATTTAGAAGGCTGATTCAGGGCTCTAAATCTTTCATGTTATGATGGAAGTCCAGTTCTTGAGTTTGCTCGGTCGAAAATGGCGACAAAAGTCAGGTTCTACTGCTGCCAGAAATTCAGAATTGGCACCCTTTTTGTTCAAAATTCCACAAGGCATCATTTTTGCTTCCTTTTTGCAATTTAACCTGAAAATGTACAAAAACATGCAAATGGAGATAATCTACATAAAATAATCAATTAATGGACTTTGTTAATGTAATTTAGGGCGCTTGAATATACAGTATTCGGCGCTTATTAGTGTTGTATTATTTTCTCTCGATCGTAATTAGTTGAGCGAAATTTTGCACCTACACTTTGGCGTCGTCTGTGGGAATCGTGTGCAAACATATTCCTACTCTTGTTTCACAGGTGAATCCTGCAATTACCATCCAGAATGTCGAACGGAGGATCTTTAACGGATCAATAGACGGAGTTGATGCAGAAGATGCATGAAGAGTTTCTACCCCAATTTCACGTACTTCGTCAGGCAAACGAAGCAAGCGTGGCTCAGATCGCCTTGCTTCAACAGCAGAATAACACTCTGCAAACGACGATGGCTCAGTTGGCACCACCGCCACCAGTGGGTGACACAGTAGCACCCCCTAATCAGAATATTCCTCCGATTACCGGACTTCCACCTAATGGGGCACGACCCAATGAGGCTCAGCCGAATGAGGTTCAGCAACAACGGAGGGCAAGATCCGAGGCTGCGGCTTCAGGCAACGTCCCTCGTCGCACACAGGATGAACAAGTCGAATCCAGCTATAAGCTCACGATGTGGTCCAATGGATTCCCAGATGGTGTAGGTGTTCAGGATGCCTTTGATGAGAAAAGACTCCTGAAGATTCAGACACCTGCGGAGATGGCTAAAGAACACAAAAATTCCTTGGTTAAAACTCCTTTTACTGACGATGTGTATCTGGTTGAGAGGCCCAAGAAATTTACCATGCCTTCTTTCACCCAGTTTGATGGAACGGGGGATCCTTCTCGGCACCTATATCATTACGCTCAAAAGATGGCTTTGGATGATCGTAATGACCCTTGGATGTGCAGAGTTTTTCTTACCAGCTTGACAGGAGTAGCACTAGAGTGGTTTAGGAATAGACCGCACAAGTCCATCCTGGATTACGTGACTCTGTGCACCATGTTCCTGGCATAGTATTGCGAAAATAAGAAGCAAAAGAAGAGCATTGCCAGCTTCTTCACTGTAAGGCAAAAGAAGGGGGAAACATTGCAGGATTTCTTATCAAGATTCAACATGGAAGCCTCAGAAATATCAGATTGTCATCCCGCGACTGCTATAGAGACATTTAAACTTGCGGTGATTCAGGGGACGAAGTTCCACACTTCCTTGGTCAAATATTCTCCTCCCGACATGCAGACTTTCAATGCCAGGGCCCAGATCTACATTCGGCTCGAGGAACATATAGCCCACCGAGTGCAGCACGCCACCCTCATAACGGTGGAGAACAAGCCTCGAGAAAGAATTCCAACTTCAAAGATTCAGAAAAGCCAACGTTCCTCAACGCCGATCACCCAGGCACCTGAGAAGAGGCAAAGGGTAGAGGAAGGATTTACACCCCTCCAAACTACCTTGGCTCGGCTCTTCCAAGAGAATAAGATGAAGTTCACAACTCCGCAGCCAATAAAACAACCCCTGGAGCAAAGGGACAAAAGCAAACATTGCGTTTATCATCGAGATTTTGGGCATTCAACCAATGATTGCAGATCCCTTAGGCGACAGGTGGAGAATATGATCGCCAGAGGTGAGTTGGCAGATTACCTCATAACAAAAAAGTATGCAAAGCCCCGCGAGGTCTACCCCCGTAAAGTGGAAGGTACGCAGCAAGTAAAAGTCATTCATGCAATACATGGCAGGTTTGAAGATGATCAAGAATCCGAGGGGGTCTACAGGTCCAGATTGAGGGCAGCCCACAAGCTCAGGAAGATATCCTCGATCAATGTTATCGCTTCGGATAGCATCAGTATAGGATTCGGAGATGGCGACCTATCTAGAGTTCAACTCCCCCACAAGGATCTATTGGTCATCAGTCTTTTAGTAGCCAATTGTATGATCAAGAGGGTTTTGATAGATCCAGGAAGTAGCGCCAACATTATCATAAAGACGGTCTTTGAGCAGCTAGAGATCCCGTCATCATCTATTCGACCTACCTCCAGCCCGTTGATGGGATTCGATGGCATAAGAGTAAATCCCTGAGGGTAATAGACTTGTTCGTGACTGCGGCGAAGAGGACTCTGAAGGAGAACTTTATTTTAATAGAGATTCATCCTTCTTATAATCTCATCATGGGAAGAGGCTGGACGCACCGGATGAGAGGAGTTCCGTCCACCCTTCACCAGGTAATGCGGTGTTTATCACCGGATGGAAAAGAAGTGATTAATCTATGGGGCGATCAAGTCACTGTGAAGGAATGCTATATGTTGACACAGGCTGAAGCAAAGAAGGTGCCTACTCAGTAACAGCTAGGTGTGGCTTCCAAAAATATACCCAAATAGCAATTACAGAGCCCTCTACCCAAGTATCTTAAGGTAGAGGAGGAAGAGGATATTTCGAAGCCCACCGTGGAGACCCTTGAAACTGTGGAAGTTATCCTCGGCGACCCTCAGAAGGTCACTTATTTAGGCTCTTCCTCCACGTCTGAAGAAAATGAGGCGTTAATTGATGTTATCCGGAGCAATGCAGATGCTTTTGCATGGGGATCACTCGGACATGGTAGGGATCGATCCTTTAGTTTCCTGCCATAGTCTGAAGGTGGATTCAGAGTTCAAACCGATTAAGCAGAAACACCGAAGGTTTGCCCCCGAACGCAATCGCTTTATAGCTAAAGAAGTAAACAAGTTGTTGCAAGCAGGTTTCATTCGAGAAGTGCAATATCCACAGTGGCTGTCAAACGTGGTGGTCATACAGAAGAAGAATGGAAAGTGTGGGGTTTGTGTAGACTATACTAACCTTAACAGAGCCTGCTTTAAAGATAGCTTCCCTCTGCCAAAGATAGATCAGATGGTTGATGCTACCACCGGCTACGAGAGGCTAACATTCCTTGATGCATACTCGGGATACAATCAAATTCCTATGAACCCTGAAGATGAAGAAAAAACGGCTTTTATTACAGAAAAGAGGACTTATTGTTACAGGGTCATGCCCTTCGGACTGAAGAACGCTGGAGCTACTTATCAACTTCTTGTTAACAAGATCTTTGATAATCTATTGGAAAAGACAGTTGAAGCATATATAGATGACATGGTGGTCAAAAGTGTGAAGAAGGAAGACCATCCGAAGCATCTCCAGGAAGTTTTTAATACCTTGAAGAAGTACAACATGAAGTTGAATCCATCAAAGTGCTCCTTTGCGGTATCATCAGGTCAATTCCTCGGCCACATAGTGAATAAAAGAGGGATAGAGGTAAGTCCGGCTCAGGCTAAGGCCCTCATCCAGAATCAGGAACTAAAAAATCACAGGGAGGTACAAGTTCTTACCAGTCGGATCGCAGCCCTCAACCGGTTTATATCCCGATTGTCAGATAAGTGCAAACCATTCTTTGATGCTATAAGATCTAAGAATAAAGATATATGGGGACCTCAGCAGCAGGAGGCCCTCAATCAGTTGAAAGGTTACATGGCCGAACCACCAATTCTATCCACTCCAAAACCCGGGGAGATTCTTATTATGTACTTGGCAATTTCTAGTATAGCGACAAGTGCAGCATTGATTAGAAAGGAAGGAAAAAGGCAATATCCAGTCTTTTACACAAGTAAGACAATGACGGATGCGGAGACACGATATAGCAGAGTAAAGAAAATCATCTTAGCCTTGGTCTATGCCAAGAGGAAGCTTCGGCATTATTTTGAATCTCACAGCATTGTGGTACTCACCAATTATCCTATACGGGGTATACTTTTTAAGCCCGATCTATCTGGGAGAATTACCAAATGGGCTATCGAGCTCAGCTCCTTCGACATAACTTATGAGCCGAAGGTGTCGCACAAAGGACAAGCTGTAGCAGACTTTCTTCTCAAATATGAAGACACTCCCGAAGAGCCGGAACCCCCTGAACCACAGTGGGAGCTTCAGGTCGATGGTTCCTCGAATCAAACAAGTGCAGAAGTAGGGGTGGTTATGTCAACACCCGAAGGCACCAAGTTGCAACAGTCTATTTGCTTAAAATTCCCTGCTACGAACAATGAGGCCGAGTATGAGGCGTTACGGGCTGGTCTTCGATTGGCCAGCAGCCTCCAGGTACGTTGTTTAAAGGTTTTTAATGACTCACAGCTTGTTATAAATCAAGTGACAGGACAGTACCATCCCAAAGAGGAAAGAATGAAAGCATATAAAGAAGCTGTAGAGAATACTACACGGGGATTTGATTAAATCGAATTCTGTCAGGTACCTCGTGTTGAGAATGCCGAAGCAGATCAATTGGCCACAGCAGCGTCATCCTCAAATGAAGATCTGACTAGGATTGTGTCGATTGATGTCTTAGACGAGCCTACCATTAATCCTCAGCAAGAAGTAATGGTGATTCCAGTTATTCCTCGAGAACCATGCTGGATTAATCCATTGGAAGCCTACCTCAACCATGGAATTCTTCCAAACCAAAAGCCCGAAGCACGGAAGCTCCGACTCACCGCAGCTAAATATGCTATCATCAACAACCAGTTATACCGGAAGTCATTCTCAGGTCTTTACCTGAAATGTTTAAGCCCTACTGAGGCTCTTGTGGTGTTGAAACAAATCCATGATGGAGATTGTGGCAACCATTCTGGGGGTAGATCCCTTGCACATAAAGTTCTAACTCAAGGCTACTTCTGGCCATACTTGGCCCGGAATGCAGAAGAGTATACTCGGAGATGTGACAAACGTCAACGTCACGGTCCCATGAAGCATCAACTTGCCGAAGATTTGCATGCAATGGCAAATCCATGGCTATTCGCACAATGGGGGATTGATATGGTGGGCCCTTTACCTAAGACTGTGGAACAAAAAGAGTACGTGCTACTGGCTACAGATTATTTCACTAAATGGGTAGAAGCCGAGGCCTACTCAAGTGTGACCCATGAGCAGGTAAAAAGTTTCCTTTGGAACAACATCATTTGCCGGTTTGGGGTCCCAAAAGTTATTATGATGGACAATGGTAAGAACATCGACAATAAAAATACAAGAAAATTCTTCGCTGAGCATGGAATTGTACAAAAGCTAGCTGCAGTCAGTCATCCACAAGGGAATGGACAGGCTGAAATAACTAATCGAACCATTTTCAGTTGTTTAAAGAAGAAGCTGGAGAAGCTCAAAACAAAATGGTATGAGAATCTCCCTCAGGTGTTTTGGGCGTACTGAACCACACCACGGCGGCCCACGGGGGAGAGTCCTTTTGCCATGGCTTATGGATCCGAAGCTGTGATCCTAACCGAAGCGGCAGTTCCAACCCTTCGGACATCCTTATTGCTTGAAGGAAATAATAGTCAGCAGCTCGAGCAAAGTCTCGATCTCCTGGATGAAAAAAGGGATGCTGTAGCAATTAGGCTCGCTTCATATCAGCAGCAGCTGCGCAACAATTATAACAAACGTGTCAGATTTAGGAGCTTTGCGGTAGGCGATTGAGTTCTGAAGCAAGAGACAGCTCATGTAAAGAAACTGGAACCTAATTGGACCGGACCCTACAGGGTTACCGAAGTAGTGGGGAAGGGAGCATATCGTTTGGCCGAAGTTGACGGACGTCCCATTGCGCGTCCTTGGAATGCAATACACCTTAAAAGGTATTTCCATTAGATAAGTTTGTCAATTTTATTAAGAATTTTTCACAAATAAGGCAGCGTAAGCCCACAGTCAGCCAAGTTTTCTTTATTTTGCTTCTATTCCATTTGTTTCTTTCCATAAAAATGGGGGCCATACCACCATTCTATGATTATGCAATTTTGCGTCGCATTATGCATTAGCAATTTTTATGCAAAGAAATTTTCATACTACACTGTGATTATGTAATTTTATGCTTTTATGCAAAGCAATGTTAGAAGCAAGTTATTAAAAAGCATGCGTTTTGACCTATGGTTAAAATTCTCTGTCCCACATCGGCAAAAAAGTATGAGTTGCATTCTGTTATATATGGGAATATTTAAATAGTTGATTGCGGTGTAAGGAGGGCCCACTGGTATTAAAGGCTGTCAAGCTCAATACCAGAGGCATTCCTTACACCAACCTTTTTGTTGACAAAATATAGTTTATGTCCCACATCGGATAAAAATAGAAAGGAAATGTGGTTAATATATGCGTAATCCATTACATTTGGTTGCCAAGAAGGGAGTATCAATGGAGGAAAGTCTCCAAAGTAAACAAATAGGAAACTTCCCAGCCACTGTTACTCGCTTTCTTGGCCTCCTATCATTTTTGAGTCCTCGGCGTCATGATAAGTTGTTTAAAAAAAGAAAAAGAAAAAAAAGAATATATATATATATATATATATATGCAAACTTCTCCTAAGGCCCAACGCCGAGGAGAAACCAACCTGCCTCAGATCCTAAGTGTCCAGCTCGGCAAAATCTCCCTCAGGCTCAACGCCGGGGAGAAATTCACTCGCCTCGGATCCTAAATGTCCGGCTAGGCAAAACCTCCCTTAGGCTCAGCGCCGAGGAGTAATTTATTCGCCTCGGACCCTAAGTGTTCGGCTCGCAAAACCTCCCTCAGGCTCAGCGCCGGGGAGTAATTCACTCGCCTCGGACCCTAAGTGTCCGGCTCGGTAAAACCTCCCTCAGGCTCAGCGCCGGGGAGTAATTCACTCGCCTCGAACCCTAAATGTCCGACTCGGTAAAACCTCTCTCATGCTCAGCGTCGGGGAGTAATTCACTTACCTCGGACCCTAAGTGTCCGGCTCAGCAAAACCTCCCTCAGGTTCAGCGCCAGAGAGTAATTCACTTGCCTCGGACCCTAAATGTCTGGCTCAGCAAAACCTCCCTCAGGCTCAGCGCCGGGGAGTAATTCATTCGCCTCGGACCCTAAGTGTCCGGCTCGCAAAACCTCCCTTAGACTCAGCGCCGGGGAGTAATTCATTCGCCTCGGACCCTAAGTGTCCGGCTCGAAAAACCTCCCTCAGGCTTAGCGCCGGGGAGTAATTCATTCGCCTCGGACCATAGTTATTAAAGGCTCAAGGCGCACAAAAGCGCAAAGGCCTCTTGGAGCCTGAGGCGCAAGGCGAGGCGGGCGCC